ATAGTCGTCTAGGACAGTAATGGCATATTACTGTGCTACAACTCATAATAAATGTGATAAATGTGATAAATAGTGAGAACTATGCAAAGGCTTAGAACTAATGAATAGACAAGTAAGCAGAGCCTGGAAGACAATGTATGAGTCCATAAATAGAAAAAGCAATCAAAACTAAATGTTATAAAATGACAAAGGTTGCACTTGACCTCCAAAGAAGAGATAGAAGAAGACACACCTCTGCATTCTTTTGCAGAGGTGGGGATCCACAGATGTAGAACACCACGTATAATATGAGGTTTTTTTTTAATGTATTGGTTGGTTTTGCTGAATTGTTTCCTTTTATTCTATTTTTTAAAAATTCTTTGTTATAAGAGAGGGAGAAGAGGAATAGAGTGGAAAAGGTAGACACTGTGAAAAAGAACAGAAGGTACCAGTAAAATCTAGTTTTTAAAATAGGAACTGCCACTGTAACAATATCTTCACATACAACATAAATTTTCTGTTCACCACTTAAAAGAATCCTATAGTGATGTTTTATAAAGAAACAGTTTAAGGACAACTAGGAAAAATCGTCTGTCTTCTGATTCTTCATTCAATTTCAGGAAAGTTATGGTCTCTTGGTAATGGGCAGACCTATATCTGTACCCTTACCTCCAATGTTATATTTATACTGTCCTGTATACACGTCTTGAACCTCAGAGAAGTATTCCCAACTAGCAATAGTTGATAACCAGCTCCTGTTACAGCCTTAGCAATCCTTTTACATTTTGACCTTTCTGCTCTCCTGAAATTTTATTCTTGAAAGTTGCCAGTGACACCCTAATCACCATGTGTAATGTCTTTTTTCAGTCCTCATTCTCCTTGACTTCTCTATGGTAATTGTCACTATTGATTAACATCCATCTTTGAAAAAACTCATCTCTTAGTTTCTGTGGCACAGTATCTGTTCTTCCTTTCTCTTATTATTCCTTCTTTTTCTTTTCCTGGCTTTTACTGTAGATATCACCCAAGTTTCAGCCTTGGCCTTCTGTTCTCTCTTTATTTTATCCTCGGTGATCTCAGACACTGTCATACCTAACATGATCCCTTCACTTAAACCCCTAAATGTATACTTCAAGACTTGAAGTCTACAATATAAAAGTCATTCTTGCATTTCCAACTACCTGCTAGATACTTCCACTGAGCTGTCATGCCGTCACCTTAAAATAGTGTCTAAAACTGACCTCATCATCCTGTTTCCTAAACTACTTTCATCTTTCTGAACTCATGATTTCCATTAATGAATCCTACCACCATTCTCCCGGTTACCCAGCTTTGAAACTGTGGAGCTCTCTTTGACTTTTACCTTTTACTTGTTAAAATCCTGATATTCAATTAGTGGCAAATTCCTTTTGATTTTTGCTTAAATGTGTGTGTGTGTTTCATTATCTCTGCCACCATCCTAATTTAGATCCTTATCATAATATGCCTAGATAATTGCAGTAACTTCCCAAGTGGTCTCTTTTTCTATAGTCTTACTTAAATCTAATCCATTTTGTATCCCTATTGAAGGTCTGAATGACTATATCTTCCTAAAACACCAATTTCATCATGCTACTTTCCTATTCAGAAATCTTCATTGTGTTCCTCATTACCCACAGGCAGAAGTCCAAACACCTCAGCCAAGTGTTAAGGCTCTCCACAAATCAGATTCCTGACTGTCTTTCTTCCTATGTAAACCTTCGGTTCTAGCCAGACTATTTTACTTATCATGCCCTGAACATTCCTCATGTTTTGTACCTCTGCCCATGCTTTTTCCCTTCCTAGAATACCTTCTCTGCCTATCAGAATCTTAATCATTTTTTAAAGCCCAGCTCAGATTCTACTTTTGTGAAGCCTTCATTGTTTCAACCAGAAGTGGTATCTCCTTCTTAAGTCCTATCATACTAATTTGTTTAGCACTAGTAATTTACTACATGCTTAGAATCTTTTCCCATGTGTGTACTCCCTCAACTTAGTCTTGAGAGCAGGGACCACAACTCTTACCACTTTCCCTCAGTGTCCATCATCATAGCTTGAATATTTTTGGTATTTAATAAACATCTGTTTAACTTATAAGATGAAATATACAGGAAAAGGTGCTGCATTTTGGTACCATACAAGTTGTCAGCCTTTCAGAGGTGACTGCAAAGTTTTTATTCATTCTACGGTTTCAGTTACAGTTTATATATACATATACATATACATATATATATATATATACACACACACACACACACACATACACACACACGTATGGTTATGCATTATATATATGTGGTTATGGTATATATATACTGTTATATATTTTATATTTTATATACATATACATATACACATACATATACATATATATATATATATAGTTGTATAGTTATATATAGTTATAGTTAACAACAGCCTCTTTCCAAAATCATTGTAGATTGGAAAACTTCCATTTCAGCCTAAGACCAATGATGTTGGAGTGTGATTTCATTATAGGTATGCTTTATTTCTCAGGAGAAGACACATAGACATAGATAATGGAGATAAGACTTCTTTGACACTTAATTTCTACTATTGTAGAGGAGAATGTATAAAAAGAATTTGGACCTTTTAAGGGAACCTGTGTATGTTGGGATGTAAAAAAGGGATGAGAGAGCTATGCAAAAGGAGCCCCTGAATAAGGAAGCCGACCCCAGAGGCTCAAGGAAGGAAAGTGCATGTGAGACTCTCTGCCCTGAGATTCAGATTGATGGCTTCTGCTCTCCCTTTGAACTCTACCACAGCTTCCACAAATATCTCAATTTGTAATAGTTATTTTTAAACCATTCAGTGTGTACAATGCACTGGTGCTAAGTGCTGGGGGTAGAAAGGTGAAGATATAGTCCCCATTCTAAAGAAGTTATAGTATGGGAAATAAAATGGATGAAAATAATATTAATTAAAATAATATAAATATAAACAAGAGGGAAACAGAATGCTGTGAGAGGAGAGAAGAGAGATCACTGTGGGAGAGTGGAAGATGAATTAGAGAAAGCTTCATAGAGAATGTGGTACCCTGATTGGAATTGGACCCTGATGGAAGGAAAGAAAGGTCTTTAACTGTCAAAGATAGGGATGGAAAGAGTCTATTTTAGACAAAGCACTTAACAAAGTCTGCCATTATGGACAAAGTGTAGAGTTGTGGACTGAATAATACAAGAGTTAAAGTGAATTCAGAACCAATTGAATGACCAACCCAAAGAGATGATTAATTTAATGTTAATTGAGCTCCTTTGATAGAATGTGCCAGTGTTCTGCTGAATATTTTTTAAATAATTGGATGAAGATATAGATAAGATAAAATTGGCAGATGATAGGAAGCTTAAAGGGGGGAGGAGGGGTGGCTAATACATTGAGCAACAGAACTAGGATCCAGAAATACCTGTGTAGTCTAGAGCAATGAGCCAAATCCAAGAAGATGAAATTTTTAGAGGGAGAAATGTAAAATTTATGCATGATTGTTTTTTGGACCCGGTTTCAGGATGTGAGAATGTTACTAGGCAACCATTCATGGGGAAAATATATTTGGATTTTAATGGACTATAAGCTCAATATGAGTCATCAGTGTGACACAGCAGCTAAAATAGTAATGCCATCTTTATCTTCATTAAGAGAGGTGAGGCATCGTAATATCTAGAATGAGGGAGGTGATAGTCCCACTATACCCTGCCCAGGTCAGCACCACATATTATAAAGAAGTTCTAGATACCACATTTTAGGAAGGACCTTGATAAATTGGAGTGTATCCAGAGAAGGAGAGCAAGGTTGGTGAGGGAGCTGGAGACCGTGTCATGTAAGGATCCACTGAAGGAATTGGAGATGCTTATCTCAGAGAGGAGATCTCTAGGGAACATGGCAGCTGTATTCAACTATTTGAAAGGCTAACATGTAGAAGAGTCTTAGACTCATTTTATTTCATGCTCATGGGTGCAACTTGGACTGAGAGTTGGAACTTTGAGAGGGACAGAGTTAGACTTGATATAAAGAAAAAACTTCTCAGCCAGTAGGGTTATTCAAAAGTGAAAGCTAAATAGCCATTTGTTGGGGATTTTGTAAAGTAGATTCTTGTTGAAGAATGCAGTGACCTAAATGAAATTGTAGGTCATTTTTACGGCTTGTGTTGAATCGAGAAAGAATACTTGTGGTGTGATAGAGATCACTACCGCTACTGTGGTAGAATCAGAAAACCAGATTTTGATCCTAGCTTTGCCATCAACAGGCTTGTTAAGGAGACATGTTATTTCATTCCTCTGGGCCTCATTTTCTTCATCTGTGAAGTAGAAGGGTTGAATTGGATTATTTCTAGGTTTGTTTTTAGTTTGAACAGTCTATGATTCCAAGTACAAGACATGATCCCTCCAACTTACAAATAAGACATAAGAAAGTTAAATAACAATTTTTAAAATTTTGGACTGTTTAAGGAAACAATAGACCTCTTTTGCTAACTTAATTTTTTTTTGTATTAGTAGGAAAACTGTTGCCTTTATAGGAAGACAACATGAAAATAGTACCTTTTAAATCCCTGTAATGGTTTTGAATAGTCTTAATTGTGTTCTGGAGATGTCCAATAATTAAATAAACAGATCCCTTAAAAAAAAATTTAGCCACTGAACTGATTATTTGAAGTCCTTATTAGGTGTGAAGTTCAGAATTGAAATTCCGTTTTCATTGAAATATTAGAAAGAATTTGATTTATGGTATAGTATTTGATTTATACTATCTTTTGTCTCAGAAAATTTTTTTGTGATGACAAAATTTCCTTCATATATTCTACTTGAAATATGGTTTTAGACCCACATTTTCCTTCCCACACTTCTAAATACATTTCTTATTATATTTCCATTTTGATGACAGTACTTTTGTATGATACTTTGCTTCAAGAAATAATTTGCTTTAAATATTTTAAGTCAACTTTTGAATAGATAGATAACACTCGTGTTTTTCTATATTTTTGTTTACAGATGCCTCTTCAAATGAACAACAAGACCTTTTCTGTCAGAAGTTGGAGCAGTGTTGCATACTATTTGATTTCATGGACTCTGTTGCAGACTTGAAAAGCAAAGAAATTAAAAGGGCAACACTGAATGAACTGATTGAGTATGTTTCAACAAATCGTGGCGTGCTTGTTGAATCAGCATATTCTGATATAGTGAAAATGGTAAGCCTCTAAATTTATGTTCCTTTAGGTATACCCTGATTAAAATTAGGCATGACTATATAACTGTCCAAAATAATGAAATTGCCTTTTTATAAAAAGCAAATATCTCAGAATTTATGTATCCAAACAGTCATCTTGGAAGCTGGCTGCAACTACAGAAGAAAACAGAAGGAAGACCAGAAAGAGTCACAGACAAGTAGGACAACTTTGAAAGTTACATATTGAATTTATTTTAACAATTATTAAGAAAAACAAGTTGTACATAACAGAGAGACATAGTTTAACATACAATCCTCTTTTTTCATCTACTATATATATGGAAATACCAATTTTAAAATTAATTTAAAATTTTAAAACTAAATTTTTTAAAAAGCAGTTAAAGATGAGTTAGTCAAAGTTAACTCCATCTGGTAGGCATGTTTTACTTCCATTTATCAAATAAAAGAAGAGATGCTCAAGTCATAATTTACTTGTAAAAGATAAGATTTTTTTTTAAAGTTTTTTTTTTTTAAATCACTTGAAATTTAGCTGAAGCTTTGGCAGGAACATTTTTTTTTTTACAGGTGGTTAGGCCAAAAGTTTAAAAAGAGACTTTTTGTCCTCAATGTCCAATTCAGTAAGCATTTATCAAACATACTATGTGTTTTCCTTCACATGTTCTCATTTTCTGTTCAGTCTGGCCTACCGGTTGTTCCTCCATTTCATTCCATCCTGGGGCCTTCATACCTTTGCATCCAGATGATCTTCTATGTCTAGACTGCCCTCCCTCCTCACCTGTACTTCGTGGAATCCTTGGTTTTCTTCGGATCACTGCTCAGCTGCCACCTTTTTTAGAACACCTTTGCTAATCCTCTTTATTTGTTGGTGCTTTCTCTCTTGAAATTATTTTGTTTAACTTTTTACGTATTTTGAATGCACTTATTTTCTTGTATAGGTTCTATCTCCTCCATCCCACCAGTACAATATAAATTTCTTGATCCCAGAATCTGTTTTCTTTGGTCTCTGTCTAAAGAATCTTTGTGCTTAGTGTGTTTTTGAATATTTACTGAAATGAGCTGAAGTTACAAAGATTGAATAAGACTTGATCTCTGGCCTCCAGAAGCCTAGCACATTGAAGGAAGGGACAAAAATAACAAATACAAAGTATAACTAACAGTTATAGTAGATGGAGATCTGCTTGTCTTTGGGAGTTTAAAAAAAATAAAAAGGACCCTGGTTCAACCTGCCTGCCACACATCTGAGTTGAGTGGCCACAGGCAAGTATTACTTAATATCTTAGGGCCCCCAAGCAACTTCATCTTTAGGACCAATTAAATTGTGGGTCTGACTGGAGAAAAGCTACTATGAGATCTCACTAAGTACTTTAAAATTAGAAAGAAGATCTAGCCCAGTTCTTTCATTTGACAATTGATAAAACTCAGGCCCAGACAAGGAAGGAAAGAAAATCATTACTGAAATATAAAACTTCAAATATAAGCTTTGGATTTTGTGAAGAAACCATTTTACTGCTTTTACTAGGGGTGCTGAGATTTAAGTGGTGCCTATTCATTTTATGAAAGGGTGATTACAAATGCAAATGTAATCTTTAGCTTCTAAACCTACATATAGGAAGTTTGCCCAGGTGGTCAAGTTCATTCCATATGAAGATCATTGAAGAAATTGAGGATGTTAGAGAGAGAAAGGAGAGAAGAGAAGGGAAGAGGGAGCATGAACTAAATGGAATCAAGAGATACATTTTAAAACATGCAACTTAATATGTAAAATTCTTAAATTGGATCACTGCCTGCTTTATTAAATGAGTAAAATCAACAAAATGAGGTTTTACTTCTGTTGTTATTGAGCATCTTATTTAGTAGTGACTGTTAATTACCCATAAAATAGATGTGTTTCTTAATCCTAAATTCAAATCAACAAAGATATTACCTAAATGCAGCAAGTAAATGTAAATAAATTAAAATCTAGATTATTCTTAAATGGTAGTGCCTCTTCTACCTTCTGATTTAATTCAGACTCCTCATCTATGTTGGTGGTCAAAGGCACTATGATGATTATAATGAGTCTTCTTTGAGACAAATGATTAGGAAATACTAGGCTAGATGTTAAATCAAGTCCCCATTAAATGTCTCTTTTGTAAAAGATCCCTACCCCCAGCATAGTAGGGTGGATGGTACAAAACAAGCGCTAAGGATACTACAAAATAAATATAAATGCATATGGAAAGTATGAGTCAAGTATGAGAACTGGGGAGGGAAAGATAATTTCTGTTGGGAATAATCTGGTCCAGCTTTCACTTGAAATTTCTGTGCCTGAGATAAGGAGCTAGAAAGATAGATAGGTAGATAAAATATTTATTATGTGCCAATCCCTGTGCTTAGCACTGGGGACACAAAAACACCAAAACAAAATAATCCCTTTCCTCTAGGGGCATCATCTATCCTAGTCTACTCTAGGGTGGAGTTAATTGGGTGTGGGGAGAGCAAGGTATCTGGTTGGTGTTTTGGTGGGGCAGGGGGAAAGAAATGAGCAGCCTGGCTGGGACTTTTGTGACGTGGATAGAAACAATAGTATGAGCCCTCAAATCAATTTAAGACAAACTTGGAGAGAATATAGAATCCTCATACACCTGCTCACCTAGGCAGCCCAGACCACTCCTGAGGAAGGGAAAGGCCAATCAGGGAGGAGTTTATCTGAGATTCTGGGAGTAGGAGGTAGGGTGGGGAAGAAAGCAGATTCCTTCCTGTTTAACTAATCTTGCTAACTAGATGCTAACCTGTGTTGTTTAGATGTTGCTGAAATGTAAGTGTTGTTAGTGCCTTAAGGCAAAGTGTCTCCTGTCTTTCTGTCCTTTCTGTTCCTGTGACCAAGGAACGTTCATGAAAGAGGTGGCATCAGAGAAATGGCTCTTGAAAGATGGGTACAATTTCAACAGTTGGAGATGAGAGAGAGAGAGAATAGGATGCTTCGGGCATAGTATGCTCAAAGACACAAAAGGGAAGACTTCAGGAAGTTTTGGTGCATAGTGAATTTTAGTACAGTTTGGATTGAGGGGCGACAGTGGGAAAGAGCTGGATAGGTAAAGTGCCATAGGTTTTGGAAGGCCTTGAACACAAGGCTAAACATATGTGTACTTAGTTCAGTATATGGTAAAGAGCCGCTGAAGAGTTTTGATCAGAGCAGTTGCCTCATTAGCTCTGTTTATAAAGATTGAAATGGCAAAGAGATGAATGAGTTGGAAAGAAGAAATCAGAGGCTAGAAGACCACTTAGACAATTTCAGTCATCCATGTGGGAGATAAAAGCCTGTATTAGCCTTCAGGTTCCTCCTATGTTTAAATCTCTCTATCCATCCTCTGTGTTGGGAGGGGGGAGCTGCAGCGAGCTACTTATCACTTGGGACATGGCTGAACAAATTATGACATACAGATATAATGGGATATGATTTTACTATAAGCAATGATGAAGGGGGTGGTTTCACCTGAGAAAACTCATGTGAACTGATGCAGAATAAAGTAAGCAGAATCTGGAAGACAATTTATACCAAAGCAAGAATACTCTAAAGATAAACAACTTTGAAAGACTTAAGAACTCTGATCAACCACAATTTTAGAGAACTCATTATGAAACATGCTGTCTGCCCCCTGACAGGTAATGGAGTTTGAGACATGTCTGTTTGGACATGGACAATGCAAGAATTTGTTTTGCTTGACTGCCTATTTGTTGCAAAGATCTTTTTTTTCTTTTCTTTTCTCCATTGGGGCAGGTGAAGTAGGAGACAGAGAAAATAGATTTTTGTTCTTTTAAAAAAATAATTTTTAAAAAAGACTTGAAAAAAATTAATTCTTCATTGGGCATTGGGGAGGAATGCCCCAATATGATGAAGTGAGCAAATTTTTAATAGCAACAGATAGGGTGGAGAAAGACACCAATTAAAATTAATTTGGCCCTATTAAAGTCCAAAGATGGTTAAAAGGGAAGGACAAGATATAAATATTAATAGCATCTTTTGCCTTAGAAATGTGTATCTGCCTTTTGGTGGTAATGGGGTGCTTTTGTGCCAGTGGAATACTCATTGACCATCTAAAAACTGATGTGTGTTTTATTGTGAGAGGGAACCCTATTTCAGTATGAATTATGTGCTGTCAAAGAGGTTATTAATGTCCTAAATGCCTGTTAGTGTCTATAATAAGGAACTCATTCAAAGCTTAAATAAAAGCCAGGGGTTCTTAATCTTTTTTTTCTGTCAAGGATCCATTTGGCAGTCTAGTGAATTCTGGGAGCCTCTTCTTAGAATAATGATTTATTGACTATATTGATAATTGAAGTAAATCTTAAATTTTAGTTAGAGGTTAGTGAAAATCAGGATGTAATCTTATCTCACCCAGATTCATGGACTGTCGTCAAATTTGTCCATAAACCTCTTTGGGGTCTGTGGATCTCAAGTTAAGATCTCCTGGTTTAAGGCCACGTGGTATCCCAGCGTATGTGCTGGCTTTTGCTTCAGAGGACTTGGGTTTGAATCCAGACTCTGCTACTTACTACCTATGTGATTGTAACCTGGGTAAGTCACTTAACCCTGTTTGCCTCCGTTTCCACTTCTGTAAAATGAGCTGGAGAAGGAAATGGCAAACCACTCCAGCATCTCTGCCAAGAAGACCCCAAATGGGGTCATGGAGAGTCAGACACAGCTGAAATGAATGAACAACAACAGCTTATTCTTATTTTTTAAAAAGGGGGTTAGACAAGATAGATCTGTGAAGTATCTTCCAGCTCTAAATCTTGTGATCTGTAATACGTCCTTTGCTTACATTTATATGCTTTTCTTTATAAGTCTCTAGTGAAGAAAATGAAAATTTCTCCCTTGTCTTTAGTGACTTAAAATATTTCTTGATTTGGAAATCTTTGTAGCTTTTAAGAAGACAGCTATAAAAGATATATTGTTGTTGTTGAGTTGTTTTCTGTTGTGTCTGACTCTTCATGACCCCATTTGGGGTTTTCTTGGCAAAGATACTTTTGCCATTTCCTTCTCCAGCTCAGTTTACAGGTGAGGAACTGAGACAAACAGGGCTAAATGACTTTCCCAGGGTCACAAAGCTAGTAATCATTTGAGGCTAGATTTGAACTCATAAAAATGAGTCTTCCTGATTCCAAGCTTATTGCTCTATTCCCTGTGCCAAAGTGGCTAAGGTACCATGCCCTAGCCTAGTAAAATGTGATTCAGTGTCTTAGATCAGGTGAAATTTAGTTTCTGCTTTTGAAAAATAGTGACTAATTGAAATTCTGAGTAAGAATGGTTCTTCCCAACTCTGTCAAGACAAATTAAGTAGTTATTAAGCACCTACTATGTGCCACACACCGTACAAAGTAATCAAAGTAATTGCTAGGGTTACAAAAAATGGCATGAGCAGCTCCTTCCTCAAGGAGCTCATAAGCCAAGTGGAGGAGAGAACATGTAAAGTACAAACAAAACACAGCAAGGATAAATTGGAGGTCATCTCAAAAGGAAGGCATTAGATTAGCATTGACAGATATCAAAAAAGACTTGGTTGTTAGGTGAAATTTGAAGGAAGCGAGGAAAGACTAAAGGCTGAAATGAGCAAGGAGAGAATTCCAAGCATGGGAAGGAGATAGCCAGTGAAAATGCATGGAGTTTAAGAAATGGTGTATTGGGGGTGTATTAGGTTCTATGAACAAGGAACAACGGGGAGCCAGATGTCATGGGAGGGGAAGAAAGTAGAAGACTGGAAAGGTAAGAAGAAACAGGTTAGGAAGAATTTTAAAAGTTAAGCAGTATTTCATATTTGAACCTGGAGATAATCAGTAATTTGTTATTTGTTATATGTTGTATATATAATATGAATATTGTAAGCTAAGTAAACTACTCTTATTTGTTACTTTGTTACTCTTATTAGTACTAAGAAGCTAACTGAGCTCTTAAATTGTAACGATTGTCTGCCTTGTGTCTGATTTGGGAAATTATTTGTTATTTTATTCTGAGGTATAACAATCTTAATTTAATGGTAAATAGGAGTAGGTAAATCCTCATGACATTGTTTCAAAGAACCTTAATATCCAACAGTTTATTGATTAGTATATGTGTCATAATATGTTACTATTCTGAATGTTTTAGGTACCATACGCTAAAAAGCAAATCTATAGTCCCAAGGATGACAAACCTTATGATGATTATTGATAAGTCTCATCTCTCTGAGTGTTTGCCACATTATTAGGTGTAAGTGAGATAGCCCTCTATGTTCCTTTTCTTATGAACAGATGACTAAAGGGGGTTCATTGGGCTCACGTGTCTTACCAAGGACACTTATCACTTACTGAATGCTGCATTGGTGATAATAGGGACCTGTTGCTTTATTTATGATCCAATTGAAATTTTAGTGACATTGGCATCTGTGGCCTGGTCCCTTTCAAATGTTTCTTTTGTCTATATATGGGGGTTATAACTACGTAACTTAATCAGCTTACTTAAGCTAAACTGTAAGACTGGTTTTGTTTTGTTTTGTTTTATTGGGGTGGGGTGGGGGCAATGCTTTTCCAAATATTGTTTCCCTAGACAGCTTTGTGAATGTAGAGGTGAGATACAAAATAAATTTTCCTGAGGAGCTGTTTACTATGTTTAAAAAAGGTTGAATTCAGTTGAACAAATTAAGTGCCTCCTATGTTATGTTAGGTGCAGGAGAGACAGAGGAAATGAGCCAGTCAATACCCTCAAAGAAATAGGAATTAGACATCTACACAAATGAAGAGTGATACTGTCCAGTTCAAAAAGAATTTGCCAAATATTTCAGAGGTAGGAGCATATTGAAGAATTATACCCATGTTTTAGCAAGCGCTTAATAAAATGCTTGTTGACTTTTCAGATTCACCTCATCTTTTGCAGGAAGATGAAAGAAGGAAGTAATAATTCAGGGAATAGGAGAGAGAACCTAAGGTCATCCCTGTTTGGGTCTGGGATCTGAAAGCTAATGAAATCAAAGAGAGAGATTAGAAATAAAGAAAGCAACTTCTCTTGAATTTCAAGAGAGAAAGGGTTTTTTTTTTTTCTTTAAGTCTCATATGGAGTTGTGGAGTTAACACTGAGCTATACCTTTAAGATGTGCAAAACACTTTAGAAATATTATCTCACTTGGTCCTTACAGTGACCCTGGGTGTAGGTGCTTTTACTGCCCCCATTCTAGGATTTGGGAGACAGACTGACCAAAGTTAAGTGACTTGCCCGGGGCAGATAGTTAAAAAGCATTTGAGGCCCAATTTGAACTTGATTCTTCCTGACTCCAATTTCAGGGCTCTATCCACTCTATACCACCTAGCTGCCCCAATTTCTGAGTTATCAAAAAATAATCTTAAAAAAAAAATCCCTTTTGATTGTCAGTCTGTCCTTACCTAACAGAATTTAAGTCTATAAATGTGTTTTTGTTCCTAGATCAGTGTCAATATCTTCAGGACTCTTCCTCCAAGCGATAATCCAGACTTCGATCCTGAAGAAGATGAGCCAACCCTTGAGGCATCATGGCCTCACATACAGGTGTGAAGCAGAATTGTGTGTTGACTATTTATGGATCATTCAAAGTGAAGATAATTCTTCTCTGCTCATTGTTGTATCTTGTAGATTACAGTTATTAAATTCATAGATACATTTATTTTAAAATTTACCCACTTAATATTTTCTCACTTTCTAAAGAAATAATTAAAAGTATTGAGAAGTGTATTCTTTAAAGTATCCTCAGCCACACTTTATCTTTCCTCCCTTCTGCACACCCCCATACTGTTATTTTTTTTCCCCTTGAGTAGGCTTGTGAGACATGAGGAAAATGTTGAAACTGAAGGATTTTGACCATTGCACAGAGTTAATTTTTTTTTTTAATACAGAGGCATCTTTGATATGCAAAAAATGTTAGTAACAAGTAGCTTGATGGCACAGTGGATAGAGCACTGGGAAGACTCGTCTTCCTGAGTTCAAATCTGGCCTCAGACATTTACTAGCTCTGTGACCCCGGGCAAGTTACTTGACCTTGTTTGCCTCAGTTCCCTCATTTGCCAAAAAAACCCCAAATGGGGTCATGAAGAGTTGGACATGACTGAAACAACTGAACAACAAACAAGCATCCTCACATATGTCAATTTTAGCAAAAGACTAAATTTAAAATTTTGACACTGCAATTTGATCACAAGAATGATACAGGTAAGTGAAAAATAACACAAGATATTTTTCTGTTAAAGTATTAACAGAGTCATGAAACAATATACACACTGTATAGGTTCTTGAGGTTTTTTTATTTTTAATTGTTCAACATATCATCTTCCTGCTGGAGCACAGCTTGGGAATGCTTGAAGTATGACCATCTTAAAGACTAAGTGTCTTCAATAGGCCTGAAGTACGAAGGATAGCCATTCTTTATGTCTTAGTTGATGCCCCCTTGAACTTCTATAGTACTTAAGTAATTCCATTTTATCTTCTAGAATTGTTTGGTTTTCAAAATATTTGTGATAGAAGCTTGTTAAATTTACATAGCTTTTTAGATGAGAGCAGGAAATTATTAGTTTTGCTCAAAGCGCAAGTCAAACTGAAATTACAAATGCTTAGTTTATAAATTTTGTTTGCTTTTTACATTGGACTGAAACTGAATTGTATAAACAAAATATTTGAGGTAGTTGGGACTTGTTGCCTCTGAACTAAATTAAATTAAATTAATTTCTTAAATCTGCAAGTAGGATAGCAATCAGAGTTTTGAGATGTCAAAAAACAAAACAAAACAAAACCCATAAAACCACAACTTATTGTCAATAAATTGCCATTTTAAGTTCTATTTGAAAAACAAAGACAAGATATTATAGGCAGACCTCCAATCAAATTTCCATGATTCTGGACTCATGGCCTTTTTGCAGAATTGGAGCAAATTTTAAGGAAAAGGTGTTTACTTAATTTTCATTTACTGTTCTTAAAAACATTTCACGTTTTTGTTGTTGTTACTCAGTTTTTTTCAGTTGTGTCCAACTCTGTGATTCCATTTTGGGGTTTTCTTGGCAAAGACATTGGAGTGGTTTGCCATTTTCTTCTCCAGTTTATTTTACAGATGAGGAAACTGAGGCAAATAGGGTGAAGTAACTTGCCCAAGGTCACATAGCACCAGTAAGTGTCTGGTGCAGGATTTGAACTCAAGTCTTCCTGACTCCAGGCCCAGCACTTTATCCACTGTGCCACTTAGCTGCCCCAATTCACTTTTGGATAGTTTTAGTTGTTAAGTTTTTTGTTTTTCCAGATGTGAATCCTAAAATCTTTTGCATCTTCTACCCATTCTTTCTGGTTCAGGCCTCTGGCGACAAAAAGAACAAGACTAATCTGTCTTACACATGACAGCTGCTCATCTGCTGAATATAGTTATCATATCCACCTTAATATACTACACTGCCCCAGGTGGCTCAGCCAGTCCTCACATGGCTTGAACCTGGGGCCCTTCACCATCCTCATCGCCTATTCAGCATATACCCTCAAGCTTGTCAATATCTTTCCCAAAATAATGGCATCCCAAACTGAACACAATACTCCAGACATGATCTGATAGCTTAGATTATATCTCATATATTGGAACTCATCCCCCGCACCCATAGATGAATATATTATCTTAATATACTGAACCCATTCCTCACCTTCTTTTACTTGTCTTCTTCCCCCTAGGGGAAGTCATCATGTGCGTTTGGGAGGAAAAGTACATCTAAAAAGCTCTAACCAAAAAAAAAAAATAATAATCCTGCTTAAAGGGTTAAGTCCCTCTACATTCCCTAATCTTTGAGTTCCAATAATTTCTTACATTCCCACTCAAAAAATAATCAAATTGACTTAATTGCTGAAGTGATACTGTGCCTTAAATAGAATTTCTGTTCAATTAAAATATAAATATTTAAACTAACTTTAATTTTCATTTATTCATTTATCTGATATATATCTTTTGGTAGTTTTTCTGTTGGGGGGTCATTTTAAATGTTTATGGAAAGGAGTGAGTAAAAATTCAGTACAATAAAATATTTGCTGGGCTTACCACATGTAAACAAACTTTGGGTTTAACTTTACACTGTCCTTGGTCCTTGAATCCCTTATCCCAGTGTCCTGTTGCTATTCATCCCTTGCTAAATCCCAGCCTCAGATTGTCCCCCCCCACCCCACCCCCATTTACCTTTTCTACTCCCCTTTCTCTGTCAGCATTCAGCATCAAAGGCTGCACAGCTACGCCAAATGGGTCCACTGAATATTTGTTACCTAGTCTCACTTGGGCCTTCACTGCAGCATTCCAGTCCTTCCCTTAAGCACATGTTCCAAATGTTATCTTCTCTTCGTTCCTCCAAAATTGTCTCTTCTCTTCCTTAGCTGGGGACGTTGGGGAGAGAGGCAAAAGATGTCATTTGTGGCAAATTTTCTTTCTCTGCCCCCTTCCCCCATTGTATACTTCATATTACTTAAGCATCATTTTCCAGAAGCTTCTACTTTGCTCTAGTCTTGGACAATGAAGCTGCCCTTCTCCTTGCTACTCCCCCCCCCCCTTCTGTCCTTGATCTCATCCCTTTCCTTTGGTACCTTGCTCTTTTCTTTGATCGTCCCCATCTTCCTAATTTTCAGAGCTTTTTCTTATCTACTGACTTCTTCTTTGCTGCCTGAAAATATACTGAAATATACTTGATATTCACTTGACCCTATCATCTTCTAGCTATGTACTTCTCCTTCCCTTTACAGCAAAATCCCTAAAAACAGACTGTCTGTACTTCTTTGCCTCCACCTTCTACCTCCCGATCACTTCAGTTTTACCTTCCATAGTTAATCAACTCTATCTCCCACATTGGTGCCTTTGCATAGGTTGTCTCTCCCCACCAATGCCTGGAATGTTCACCTTCACCTCTCCTTCTTGAAGTCCCTAGATCCCTTCAAGGCTTAACTCAAGTGCCACCTTCTTCAAGAGGTCTTTCCTCATTCCCCCAGTTGTTAGTGATTCTCCTTCAATGCAACATAGATTTACCTTATATATAGCCTTAATTTACTTATCTTTGACCATGTTGTACTTATATGCCCTCTCCTTTAGAATGTAAGCCCCTTGAGGGTAAGAACTGTCTTTGCAGTTGTATCCTCGGTGCCTACTACTTAGTAATCATTTAATGAAGTTGATTTTTTTCGACTTTGGACTGTTACAACTTAGACAATTCTGTTTTACTTCTCCTGGAAATAAGTGTATAGGTAAAGTCACACCAATTATTAATAAAAAGCTTAATTAAAATTTCGCTTTTTAAAAACATAGTCTTTATAAGGACTATATATTTATAAAAGTCCTGCCATTTAATGTGATTAGTGAACTAGCTTACCGATTTTCAAAAGGTACATGTATCTGCAGTTTTCATTTGAGATGGAATGAAAGGCTACTCTTTAGAGTAGGTCCAATAGTACTCCTGTAGTAGACCAATTTCATAGCCTTTTTGAGAAGTACCCATTCTGGTTCATATGCTCAGCCAGCTTGCTTTTTGATCTGGGCAGATTACATTGTAGGAGTGGTGGGAGAGGAGAGTAGGGTATAACTCTAGCCTAACTAGTCAGATCTCTTAATATGATTTGTGGTCATACCTCCAGGGGACTAGTGACCTAGATGACCTTCAGGTTCCATTCATACCTGCTTCTGATTCTAATTACTTCCTGGTATGTCCATGCTGGCAGCCTCTGTTCCCTTGTCTAGAATCTATAAGCACTTAGTCTGTTTTCTGAAGTTCACTGCAGGCTGTGTGTGTTGCATGCATATCTGCTATTAAAAAGAGTCTTGGAGGAGTTGTGTAACAATTTCTTTACTTGCCCTTTAAATTTCTGTTAATAGTTGGTATACGAGTTCTTTTTAAGATTTTTGGAGAGTCCTGATTTCCAGCCAAGTATTGCAAAGCGATGTATTGACCAGAAATTTGTACAGCAGGTAAGGAACTCTTATTAACATTGTTTTATTAAATATAAGAATAAATACATATGATAGAAAATTGACTTCATGCAGTCTATGCTCCTATCCATAGTCTTGAACATTTCAAACTTTCTCCCATCCCCACCCCCCCATCCAGGAAGATGAGCTTAGTTTCTCAAAGGCTTTCTTTGATAGTAGCTCTTAGTTTGTTGTAGCATTTGTTATTCTTGCAAGACTATCAGAGTATGTCCATTTTTCAGATCTGTGTTCAGACATATTCCATCATCAGGACAGCTGTAAAATAGCTTCTGGCAATGGAGGGCTTTGAGCAAAGGGTGAACTTCTTGTAACATGAGTCAAATTAACTCACGTTCCCATAGTTGTTTCATGTCTAATACAAGACTCAGGTTTTGCGGAATACTCACTGTCCTCTCCAATTTCAAGAACAATGCTATGAGTTAGTTTTACTTCCCAAGCCAACATGTCAGAAAGCACTTCTTTGCCCAAATGCAGAAGTAAAAGCAACCAAACATTAGTATACAAACACCTTTCTTTTATTATGCAGGCAGGTTGGGACTCCATCCAAACAAAAATTTTAATGTAACCCAAAAATTACTTAAATGCATTTTGTGGTCACCCCCACCTGCCTCTGATAGCTTTCTCTCTCTCCCTTGCCCTTCCTTTCTCCCTGTGTCTCCCACTTTCTCCCTTTCTCTCTCTTCTTCCACCTCTCTCTCCTTCCTCTCATCCCTTTTTTTTCCATCACATAGCAAATCTTTCCTCCTCTTCTAGACCTTTCATTTTTGCAGTGTCTGGTGTGTATCCCTATCCAGCTTCAGGCCCCACCTGTATTTCTAAACTCACACAAAGCCTGAGATCTATCATGGTACAGTGGGAAAAGCACCAGATTTAGGGTCTCAGAGGACCTGGGTTCAAATCCCAACTCTGCTACTTTAGAACCTGTGTGATGCTGGGCAAGTCATAGCCCTTCTTTCTGTTTTACTTTGCCCTCTTGATTTCCCTTCCACTCAAAGTCTATGATTTTGGGATCTGTACAAGGTAGCTAGACTTCTGTAACATTAGCTAAGAACTTTATATACAGTCTAAAACTCGCACCAAACATTTTAGTTTTGAGGCTAGCCTAAGCCTGCACAATCTGCAGCCCGGCAAAGGATTTCCTCTACCTACAAAGGATGTTTTCCTCTACGTTTTTAGCGACTGCCAGAAATCCTTTAGCGTTGCAGCAAGCCAAGGGTTGTAAGCAGCCAGTAGGGGCTACAGGTTGTACAGGCCTGGTCTAGACAAAGATTTTGAGTCTTGTGTTCTAAAGTTCTACATAGACAAGTCTGATAAATCAACCAAACTACCAGTAATATAAAGATATTTTAAATGTTTAAGTCCTAGGCAAAAATGAGATTGAGTACTTTTGTTTTCATTATGAAAGATTTTTTTAGATTTAAATTTTTTTGTTTTATTATGAAAGTTCCTGATGTTAATCTTTTGGTGACCTTTTTATGCCTTCCTGTCAACTCCTGCCCTCTGACCCATGAAGTTCCTGACTCTTCTAGGTTTTTCTTTGTTTTAAATAAAATCATTCACATGATTTCATGTCACCCTTTCCAGGGCTATTTGTATTATACCTACGGGATACTGGGAGAGGTTCAGTGATTAATATAAGGAATGGAAGTTCATGATAGAATTTGTAGCTTCATTTAGGGGAGCTACTTTTTGGTCAGACCTGCAAATTATTACTAGAAGTTTGTGACCATTAAGTTAGAGATTAAACTTTATTTGTGTAATTCAGGTGTTTATTTTTATCCTATAGTTTCTAAACTCCTTTTTAAAAAATTGAACAAATGCTATAGATAAAGAACATTGTCAGCTTAAGATAACTCATTTAATAATTGCCTGAACTTAATGCCTTAGTTTAGCCATTCAAAAAGCATTTAATAAAATGTATAGAAATTAATGTTTTATTTTAAACTCTGACACTTCAAGTATCTTTCAGCAAAATTATTCAGTTTAAATTAATGAAATAGGGCTATTTAAGTAGTTAGGAGACTCTGTGTGTGTGTGTGTGTGTGTATTTCCTTTATGGATGTGCATTGTGGTATATTTGAGGAAGAAAAATTTAAGACTTTAAAGTCTGAATGTCTGGGTTTATGATACTATCTTAAATTTACTTGATACAATTTATAGCTGGTTTTTATTTTGCATATTCTTTCTTACTTAGCAGTTCAGGCATCTCTACAAACGCATTCCTGATTTCAAAGCCTTTGTGAATTATTCTTAGTGAATCTCTCTACAACAAAGTACCTATTGTAGGTTAATAGATTGGGAAACCGAAGCAATGTTTTGAAATTAATATGTGGCAATTTAAGACCTAGAACTTTATAAAACTTAAAAGAGTATAAATAGGTAAATGTCTAAAGAAACATGTTTGCATAGCTTGTTTGCCATCTTTAGTCTGAAAAAAAATTGTATATCTTTTAATGAATAACTAGGTTAAGGAGGTTGACTTGTTTTTTAAGCATAAGTGAAATAATCTACACTTCATTTGGGAATAATCTATTTATGACTTTAGCTATTATATTAGTAGATCCTTTTGTTAAAATGTAAACATGACTTAGTACCATAAATATAAGATTCTGGATCAGGAACTTGAGTTTAAATATGCTTATCTTGAACACAAATTTAGCCATTTTGACCTTTTTCTGTAAAACTAATATAATTCTGACAGCTTTTAGAGGTGGTATGACTTTCTCAAGAGAAAGCCAGCCTTTCAGTAAGAAAGATTTGGGATATATGCTGGCTGTTCGTCCCTGGCCTCATATCCTGAATTCTCAGTACCTCCTAATGACTCCCTAAGACGCAGAACAGGTGCTGACCTGTTTGTTTCATACCAGTGAAATCTTCAGTCTGGGTGTCCGTATGCTTACTTTCAAAAAAATTTAAAAAAGCTTAGGTGGTAAATCTTTCCAATAAATTTCCCAATGTTTGAATGTATATATTTTTTAAACTTTAAAACAATTTTATTAGTGATTTTAAATCTATGGTTTTAATTTGTCTTCAAAAAGCGTATGAAAAAGTTTGCTTAGGGGCAGCTAGGTGACGCAGTGGTTAGAGCACTGGCCCTGAAGTCAGGAGGACCTGAGTTCAAATCCAGCCTCAGACCAAACACTTGACACTTACTAGCTGTGTGACCCTGGGCAGGTCACTTAACCCCAATTGCCTTAAAAAAAAAAGTTTGCTTAGGTTTCAGCATTGTAGATGGGAGAAAACCATATTCTTATAGAAAGATAGCAAAAAAAAAATCAATACTAAACTAGAATTTGGGGATGTTTCACACACACACACACACACACACACACCCCTTTCTTGAGAATATGGAGTAATTAACTTTATTGTTAAACATTTACGTATCCTTACTTTTCAGTTACTAAGAACAGAATTGAGCCCAGTTAGAAAAGGTGGGGGCGGGGGGAGGTGTTTCTATTTAGTGTGATTTAGGAATTAAAAGTAGAATGAATGTTTAGTTTGATTATTTTTTAAAAAGTAATTTCTCAGATTTTTTTTAAAGCTCTTGGAGCTTTTTGATAGTGAAGATCCCAGAGAGCGTGACTTCCTGAAGACGGTTCTGCATCGAATTTATGGGAAATTCCTTGGATTAAGAGCATTCATCAGAAAACAGATTAATAACATTTTCCTCAGGTAAGTAGATTAGATGTACAATTTATTCCTTTCTTTGCACAGCATTTGTTTCACCTGGGCTTCATTTTGGCTAATTTTTGAGCATTAAGAAATCTACAGATTAATTAATAGCTTCTAGGTAATTTTTTAATAAGATGAAGACTACTTTGTAGTGTGATATTAATGTTTAGGTCATATTTGAGGTTCATTGTAGTACTAATATTTAAACAGATACACACTTACCTTTCAGCTTTTTAGTAGAATAGTCTCATAAATATTTGGATTACCTGTCCGAGCCCTAAATACTTAAACTTAGTCTTTTTTTTCCTTTTGGTTAAGAAATATTTATTGTTGAAGACCATTGCTGGAAGTAAAGAGGGCCTGCAGAAGAATTAATCTCACTGGCTGATAATGAAAGCCTCAGGCCCATTTAATTGGTGTATTTAATGGAAGGCAATGGCATAACTGAGGTCAGTAAAGGGAGTATAGATGGTGCAAGGGGAAGAGTACTGGCTTTCCCCCTCAGCACTGGGGCTATGACTGGAACCTCCAAAGTGGAACTGAGAAGACAAGGAAGGAATACAGTAAGGGACATGGCCAGGCAGTCCCCAACTATGGGGCAGAAGGAGGAAGTCCATGATGCTCTTGGACTCCTGGATACCTCCTCTCTCCATTCTTCAGGACAGTTCAGGATTTGTGTAGAGAATCAAGGGTCTTGCTTTAGTTACTTCTCTTTGATCTCCTACCTCTAAGGTCGTGAATAGGGAGACACACTCCAGTCAGTTAGGAAACTGGAAGTTTCCAGGCTGGAAGAAGAGACTCCAGAGAAAAGGAGTAAGGTAGAAAGTAGATACCAAACAGAAGGTTTGGCTGGGACACAGACAGCTTGTTGCACAGAGAGAGATTGGGCCCACAATGGAAAGTTTTTAGTATTGTCACTCTAAGCCACAAGGTATTCAATAATTTATTTTGATACAATTTTTTTAAAGATTTAAAATAATATCAAGAACAGCATCTAGTTTATTATGTAACTGAAATCAACTCCCTACTGAATTGTACAATTTAATGGAAAAAAAAAAGTAGGAGAATTCACTGTGAACTCCATACTTTTATACTCTGTGATTTTTGTTTTGTTTTTAAAGAAGTCAGTGTTTTATTTTAGGCTAGTAATCTAAAGAAATAGCCACATAGAATTAAAATTTAATTTTTCTAATGTAGGTAAGGAAATATATCAAAAGTTTCTGTTGCTACTGTTTTAGAAATGGAAGATGGGTGATGGGTAATTTACTAAAAATAGAATGTAAGTAGGATATCTGCTCCTCAAAGACATTCTTAGTTTGGATGTCTATCTCTTCTTGTGAACCTACAATATCTTACAAGCACCGAGGGCACGCATTAATAAATTTGGGTGGAATTGAACTTACTCCTAAACTTGGAAAATGGTGAGGGGTAGCTGAGTCAGACTGATAGGGCTTTATAATGCCTTTATTGTACTGCTATTATGTTGAGTTGTAGGGTATTTCCTTACCTGTTTTGAAAACTAATTTGACAAAACCTATTTTTTCCTCTTCATTGTTGAATGAGGTAGAATGTTTCAGTTAAATTCTCTTAATGAGTCATGATAAAAGCAGATGTGATTTAACAGGAAGTTAGGCATTCCTTGACCAAATCAGGAATTTCTTCACATTTAAGATTGGAAAGAATTTAAGTTTGAATATTCTTTGATAGTAAGAGGACCATTGGTCCCCCAACTGAACTTAAATGATGTCACTTAAGACAAAACATACTTGTTTTAACTGATTGTATTTGTTAAGAGAGTGATTTCTTCCCTTTTAGTCTTTTCTGTCTTTTAGTTTTGACTTTGCTGATTTACTTGACTAACAGTACCTCCCTTTTAATTGTTAAAATGCAGGTTTATATATGAAACAGAACATTTTAATGGTGTTGCTGAACTTCTTGAGATATTAGGAAGGTAGGTCACTTTTTGATAAATTTTATTAATAGATCTTAAATGCTTTTTGCATTATGTTTTGAGTTAGATTAGGGGGTAAATTTAATGCTTCATGTTTAAAAATGTAGCACAAAATATAGTTTTTCAGTTGAAACCTTATAGCCTCTACGAGGTCAGACACTTGAAACATGGCCATGTAAGAAAATCTGTTGCAGAGTAGACATCCTGCTTTTGAGGTTGTGGCATGTTTCCTGCTTGCGCCCTCTAAACTGACAGACTCTATCCTATATGCCTTTATTTAATTTCAAGTTGAGGGCATATGGGGACGAGAAGGAATTAAAATGAACTATAGAGAATATTGATGGAGATTTTTACAATTAAATTGTATTTTTAAAAATTTAACATCTGTTTTCTCTTCCCACACCCTTATCCCATTGGTGAAGAAAAAAAAAATCCTTGCAACAAATATGCATAATCTAGCAAAACAAATTCCCTCTTTGGTTATATCCAAAAATATGTCTCCTTCTGTAACTACTAATAAAGATATATTAAAAACCTATATTAACCCAGCTTTTTTACAGGGATATGGGAGAGTCTAAAGTCATAAATTTAAGTATCTTACACTATTTTCGTTACAAACATATTGTAACTCTTCTCATTAGGAGATTTTAGCCATATGTTTGGAGATAGTTTACAGGTAAAAGTACTCTGATCAAAGAAAGAAGAAAAGGACCCATATGTACAAAAAATAATTATAGCAGCTCTTTTTGTGGTGGTGAAGAATTAGAAACTGAGGGAGTGCCCATCAAGTGGGGAATGGCTGAACAAATTGTGTTTTATAAATGTGATAGGATACTCTTATATTGTAAGAAATTATGAAGGAGGCCCTTTCAGAAAAATCTGGGAAGGCTTGTATGAACTGGTAAAGAATAAAATGAGCAGAATCAGGAGGACAATTTACATAATAACAATATTGTTTTTTAATTCAATTTTATTTTCAGTTCCAAATTATCTCCCTCTTCCTTTACCTTCCCTCAGCTATTAAGAAGGAAAGAAAAACAGAAACCATTAGAAATACATATAGTCAGCTAGGTGGCGCAGAGGATAGAGCACCAGCCCTGGAGTCAGGAGGACCTGAGTTCAAATGCAGCCTCAGACACATGGTACTTACTAGCTGTGTGACAAGTCACTTAACACCGATTGCCTCAACAAAAAAAAAAAAAAGAAAGAAAGAAAGAAATACATATAGTCAAGCAAACAAATCACCAAATTAGGAGAGAGAGAGAGAGAGATTGATTATGCTTTATAGTCTGTACTTTGGGTACATTACTTCTCTGTCTGGAAGTGGAGAGTACGATTCATCTTGAGTCCTTTACAATTATGGTTTATCTTTGTGCTACTCAGAGTTCCTAAGTCTCAAAGTTGTTGATCTTTACAGTATTGTGATTATATAAATTCATGCAACTCTTCTTCCCAGGTTTTCCGAAACCATCCCCTTTCTTACAGCACAGTAGTATTCCATCACATTCATATGACGTAACTTGTTCAGTCATTCCCCAATTGATGGGCACCATCACAGTTTCCAGTTCTTTGACACCACTAAAAGAACAGCTATATTTTTATGCACATGGATCCCTTTTCTCTTTTTCATATCTCTTTTTGGGTAAAAACCTAGTAGTGGTATCATTGGTTCAAAGGATATACACAGTTTAATAGCGTTTTGGGTATAGTTCCAAAATGTTTTCCAGAGTGGCTGGATCAGTTCACAGCTCCACCAAGAGTGCATTTAAATCTATTTTCCCACAGCCCCTCTAGCATTTATTTCCCTTCTTTGTCAACTTTTTGTCAGTAAGGGAGTCTTACAAAAGGATTGCAAAGACAAACAACTTTGAACTACTCAGGATCACTGATCAATGCAGTGACCAACCACAATTGCAGAACACTCATTTGAAGTATGCTACCCACCTACTAATAAGAGACAATTTGTAGATTGAGACATTTTTTTTTTCATATGGCTGATGTGGGAGTTTGTTTTGCTTGACTATACATGTTTGTAATAGGGATTTTGTTTTTCTTGCTTTCTCAGTAGTAGAGGGAGGAGGAGGGAGGAAGATGAGAGGAAGAGAAGATGAATTTTCTTGTGAAAAAAAAAAATTTAGTTAAAAAGAAAAGAAATACTTTGGCATTTTGGGGTCTTACTGTGAAGTGAAGGAGAATTTACCCTACCTATTTATTTATGAAGAAACAAAATTTGTATCCAAGTAGAAATTAGGTTACTAGTTGTCCTAAAAGTTCAAGAAAAGGAAATTGTGTCGAAAAGGGTGTACGTATGTGACCTTGGGTAAGTTATTTCATTTCTTTGACCCTTATTTTCCCCATGTTAAATGCGAATGATATATATTTGATGATAATTTTGAGTCCCAATCATCTGAATGTTATTGAATGACTTAAAGGGAAAGTTAGTAATAGTTTTTGTAAGGTTAACTTAACAGCTACTGAATTACAAATCTATAGACTTAAAAGAAGTCATCTGGAAACACGTAAGTAATTGTATTTACTGCTTATATTTTTTCAGTATTATCAACGGTTTTGCCCTGCCTCTGAAAGCAGAACATAAACAATTTCTAATGAAGGTTTTAATTCCTATGCACACTGCTAAAGGATTGTCTTTATTTCATGCTCAGGTGGGTTCAAAAAAGATGAATGAATTAATAATCTACTTTTGAAGTCCAATATGGGTGGCAGAGAAATGAGAAATGTTAAGTATATTAAACTAGCTTGTTTTGTAGATTGCTCTATAATATACATACATGATATCATACAGAATAAAAGATAGAAAGCAATTAATTTAATCACTAGTGAATAGAGCCAGCTTTAAAATGAGAAAGATTTGTATTCAAGACCTGTCTCTGATGGGATCTCTGATATATGTTAGGACAGCCTTTTTAACCTTTCCTGAGCTTAGCTTCTCAGGTCTCCTCCAGCTAAAACATAAAAGCTGGATAAAAGTGTATATTGAAACACATTGAAAATCAAAGTACTTGTCTCATTAAAATGGCCTGCAAAATTGTGATATACTTAAGAAGAAATGTATTTTAAAATCTTGTATTTGCCTTTTTGTGGTATATTCTACATACTGTCACAGAGGCAGTAATTCAATATTTTCTATGTGAAAGGAAGATAATATATTTTTATATATTAATGAAAATGAATTTTTGGAAATAGTACAAAAATCTTCTATTTCCAAGGATTGAGAAATTAAGTAGCTTGTTATTTTAGAAGCTTACGTATGTCAAGATAAAGTAACATCTGTTAAGACATAATAATTTCTAGTTATTCATGTTCTAAAACTACATCATTAAATATTTTTGCACAATAATATTCATATAATTGTCACTTGTGTTTTAGCTAGCCTATTGTGTTGTACAGTTCCTGGAGAAAGACATAACACTAACAGAACCAGTAAGTGTTTCACTTATTTTTATGTGTTTAGTAAACAATATTATAGAAATGGTGTGTGGTGCTAGTAACGCACATGAAACTTACTTTTCTGGAAAGTTGTATATAAAGTTAAAGACCTTCCAACAACTAGCATGAATAGTGAAAAATATAGATTTTAAAAATAAGGTACTTTAGATGACTGGATCAAGTGATTGTGATATGGCATATTGAAAACTAGTGAAATTAAGAGTTTTAAAAGACTTGCTAAGTCTCTTTTTTCCTAAGTAGCTTTTAAAATGTGGCATTTTTCCCTACCTTGTAATCAGAGCCCAGGATTCAGTTCTTTAGAAGCAAAAGCATTTCTTTGTCCTTGATGAAGATGGTATTGTTCTATTTCGAATTGTAAATTTAACAGTATTTACTAAGAAATCTCAATTACTACTTGCCACTAAAATGAAACTATTGCAGATCGATGGTAGAATAAAGGTCATGGAATTTCATAGTACTGTATTATCAAATAAAAAAATACTTCTGATTCAAGAGTTATATAACATGAAGTAGAGAAATAGGCAAATATAAAAACAAACCTTAAATTTTTAACTCAGTGAACCCATTTGACCTTTAAGAGGCAAGTCTGGTGTTTGATATCCAAAAATACTTTAGATAAAGAGTTTATGGAAAATAATAAAGTATTTGAAATACTAGAATTTCTTTATATAATGTGTCTTCTAGAGGTATTTTTTGAAATGCATTTTTTTTAAAGTACTGAGTATTATTACTTTAACACTGTCAACATAAAGGAACAGGAATCATTTCTCTACTACCCCCACCTTTTTTTTTTAAATTTAGAATTTCTCTTGAAGGCAGTTAAAAGCACTTTTAAAAAATAAGTCAGAATAAAAATATTAACAAATACACTTAAGTCCACATAATTTGTACAAGGCAAATATAAATAACAATTTGCAACCAACTATGAGTTTATGCCTTACCCAAATCCACAGGAGCACTCACTAGAATTCACAGTAAGAAAACCTTTTAAATAGCTATTCACCCACTCTTGCATAGTAAATCATGCTTTGTTCTGTATTAGTAGTAAAGAAAGCTAATTTCATTTAATATGTGTAAAAACTCTTAGGGGGGGAATGGGAGGTAGGGTTTTGTTTGTTCTCAATGTGTTTTTAAAATACTTAATATTTACTAGGAGGACTGCCATCTGTAGTCACAGGCTTTAATTAGGTTTCCTTCCTTGAAATTTGTAGCAAGCATTTGTATAAATTTAAATCCTGGTTTCCCTGTCAAAATTTAAACATCTTTTGTCAGTTGCAAAATAGAACCCTTGTGAAAAAGACCCCAGACCTTTGGTACCTGTTCTCAAAACCCATTATTTTCAGGGCTTGGATGGTATTTGGGCCCAATTTGTACAGAATCTCAGAATCTGAGTTACAGAGGACCTCAGGAACCATCTATTTGGGACCTAAACCTAACCAAGAATCTCAAATCTAACCCAACTAAGTTCTAGTGAGAAGGTACCGCCTCTCTCTCAATGCAGCCATTCTGCTTTTGGACACTCAGTTAAGAAATTTTCCTTTTTATGGGGCTCCAAATCATCCTTTCTACATCAACCCCTCTGGAACCAAAGAGAACAAATTAAATGCTTATACATGACAGCCCTACAAATGTTTGAAGATAGATTTGTGTTCACACTCCTGGCCAATCACCTTTTCTACTCCGTATTACTAAAATTCTTTGGTTCCTTCAATCAGTTCTCATGTGGCAAAGCCCCAAGGCTTTTATCATCATTTTAGCTCTCCTGGAAGCTTTCCAGCTTATCAGCATCCTTCCTAAAAGGAAACAGGTGGCTACCTGTTTTAAACAGCATAACTTCCCTTCCCAAAATATGGTTCAAGGTAATTCCAGATAGTAACTTCTAGAGATATTGGAATTTGGATGCAGTATTGGGTAGTGGATGAGAAGAGAGAATAGATTCGGTGCCCTCCTCCACATATTCATAAAATTTTGTTTTAAATAGAGGGTTTGAGGCCTATTTAATAGGCCTAATACCATGTAACAGTTTATGTGATTCCATTCCCCTTTCTCATTAAGGAAAACAATTTTCTGGTCTAAAAATGCCAGGAAGGCCACAATCATTTATTTTATTATAAGTAGATTTCAAAGATTGTCTCAGGGCATAATACTATGTATTTTTTCACCTGAACATTTCTGAATTAATTCAAATAATGAAAAATATCCCAATTGTAAGTTTTTCCTTCATGCATAAAAACATTTGTGATTTTGCCTCAGTCTTATATGTCTGCCTTAGCCTGCTGGTTAGTATCTATTACTTGAAGAAGACCCACTTCATAAGTGCTGGTGTGAAGTAAGATTGTCATAGGATCATACATAGATAGCTCTATCACAGTCATTTTCAAGAAAAGCAAGTTGAAACTTTGTTACTTTCATTTTTTTTCTATACACATCTTTTTTTTTTCTCTATACGTTTCATAGGAACTTAAAACTAGCAGGGCCCCTAATAGGTCTTTGAATCTAGCTTGTTTTATGGTAGTATTCCAGATTACCTAAAGAAAATTGTTTTCTATCTCTAGGATGTGTGATTTTATAACTTCTATCTGTAGGCTGTCCTGTTGTTTTAATAATCCCTAAGGTGAAGTTTTTGGGTATACATTTTCTCGCAATTTAAACTTTTTTTTTCAAATTATATCTTCTGAAAATATAAAATTATTTGCCCTCATCCTTTTATAATTTTTCACATGCCTGAAAGACTTTAAGTTGTCCCTCATTGTCTTTAGTCTGAAGTTATACATCATTTCCTGTGCTTAATGACTCATAACATCTGACTGTTAGACAAGCCTGAATTTAATTGGTGAATGAGATACACTGAGAAAGTTAGAAAGTATGACCGTAAGAGTTTTATGAACCAAAATATCACTGTCTCTAAAATATGTATAAATCTTCTGGTAGATTGAAAAAAACATATTTTATTCATTTATTTTGTTTTATATATTTAATTTAAAATATTTTAATGTTTGTTTTTCTTAAATGTATTTTAAAGTTTGTTTCAAAATGAAGTTCCATTTTTTGTATGCAGTTCAACAAATATTAACTTGCTGTATATAGATCACTGAACTATATGCTAAATAAGGTATCAAAATGATTAAGAATGAGATAGATCCCTTTCCTCTTGAAGCTTAAAACTGATTTGGGGAAGGGAATACAGTGTATATACAAATAGCAATAATATTTCTAAATAATTAAAAAAATTATTTTGTATATAAAGAAGTAAAGGTACATTACTCTGTTTTAAACTTATGTTTATAAAACCTTGTGATCAATAAAGTCTTCAAATTTGTATCATGTGTTTAATGAAGATATATCTAATAGCAGTTGATTACATGGCCTGTTTGTGTAAATTAAGACTTGAAAAATCGGATCCTTGGTACAACATTATGAAACTTGAGTTAGGGGTGGGGGGTGTAAATGAAAGAAAACCATGTCTGATTTACTACAACAACTGAACCTCACCTACCTCACCCCCTAAATCCATTACAAGTCAGGAAAATATGATAGACAGCACAGATAATTTGTTAAATTTAATCCTTGGTAAAGAGCTTTAAAATTTTAAGGAAAATTACACAAAAAGCAGCATATTAATATTATATGGAATTGATATTGTATGAATTGCCAACAAATCTAGACACTTGTTTTCAATTAATTTTGAGCCCAAAAAATGAGAATGAAGTATGGTGCTATCAAAAACATTTGTATTTGAAGTTGAACTAACTCAAATTTTTATTCTTAAAATTAATCTTGATTTCTATATCTCTTTATAGGGTCATAGTGATAATTTATTAGGAAGGGAAGATGTGACATATATAAAGTCTTTAACTAAAGTGTGCTTATCCATCGTAAGCATTAATACAGTCACCATAATGGTAGCATATTTGGTCATAGGAAAGGTAGTGTGGTATAGTAGAAGAGAGAGTGGAATCTTGGAGTCAGAAAGTCTTGGTTTAATTCTGTGGTTTGCTGTTTATTTGCTTGGGGAAGACTCTTAACCTCTTGAGTTTTTCTTCATCTGTAAAATAGGAGTAATAATAGCTGCCCTACCAAGCTTACAGGATTGTTAGAAGTACATCAAATATGATAATATGTATAGAAGTGTGTTACATGTAAATTACTAAACAAATAAAAAGTGTTATCATTAGTCAGATTTAAGTCCCTAAAAGCGTGTTAAAATTCTTTATGGTTAATTTATACTAATATGTCATTATACCATTTATGTTAGGTTAGTTTAAAAAGCAAATTTTGCCTTCTATTAAAAATTTTCTTTTTCTTAGGTGATCAGAGGATTGCTGAAATTTTGGCCAAAAACATGCAGTCAGAAGGAGGTAAATCTTAGAAACTATATTTCAATCTCAATAAAGATTGTGTTTATTTTGACCAAAAAAAATCTTTCCCCCCCACCCTCCAATCTTCTCATTAACTAGTCTTGGGTTAGATTCAATACTTCATAAAAATATCTATTTAGGATTTTTATTTCTATACCCCTCTACTTTTACATAAAATTAAAACTTATTTTTTCCTGTATTTGATAGATGAATGCTGTCAGTGGTATTATTTCCAACTGCCAGTATATGTTTGATCATACGTATTTTTTATTGTTTCTTTTTCTCACAGGTGATGTTTTTAGGAGAAATTGAAGAAATTTTAGATGTAATAGAGCCAACACAGTTCAAAAAAATTGAAGAGCCTCTCTTTAAGCAGATATCTAAGTGTGTGTCAAGTTCTCATTTTCAGGTTTGGTAGCCTATTTTCAGTGAATCTATTTCATTTAAAAACTGGTCCTTTTTGTTTTCTTCTTGTTCTAACCTTGCCAAATATCTGTTTCAGGTTGCAGAAAGGGCATTGTACTTCTGGAATAATGAATATATTCTTAGTTTGATTGAAGAAAATATTGATAAAATTCTTCCAATCATGTTTGCCAGTTTATACAAAATTTCCAAAGAACACTGGAATCCGTATGTATTTCTTTTTACACTTTTTCTCATCTGGCCTCTAAATTTTACTTAAAACCTAGTCAGATTTGGCACTCTTCTAACCACAACCTATCCTAGCCATTCCTTTCATCCCCTTGCATTCATCTTTGTAAAGTTTTGGATGTTATTATGTATGTCTGTTTTTAACATGTTTTGGTCGTCGTTCAAGCTGTAATTATAATCTCCATGAGGGCAAGGATTATCTCATGCTTTCTAAGATCATAGATCATGGATTTAATGGTGAAAGGAGATCATTTAGTTTAACCTCTTGATTTTCCAGATGAGGAAACTGAAACCAGATGAAAGAATTTGCCATGTCTAAGGTCACACAGCTAGTAATAAGCAGAGCTAGGATTTGAAACCAAATTATCTGAGAGAGGAAGCATGATATAGTAGAAAAGTCCTTGGAGTTTGAGTCAGAGGCCTTGGTTTAGACACTAGCTCTGCCATTAATTACCTGTATGACTCTGGGCAAGTCACTTTATCTATCTGAGTCTCAGTTTCCTCATCTGTGAAACTGGGATTTTAGGTCCAACAGACTGGGTGAAATGATAATGTAAGGTCATATAGAACTCTTTAGTCTATGATCCCCAACTCCAAATCCAACATTCTCTCCACTGTAATTAGTAGGTGCTCAATAAATATTCAAGCTCGATGGATGAACTCATGGTCTCTTTGTTGAGAATGCTTATCTCTTCAACTTGATAACAAAGTTTTATTAATCTATTCAAAGCACAGGGTAGATAGAGCAGAAAACCATAATCACTTTGAATTGATTTTATGTAGGACTACCTCTTACTCTAGAAGCAATACCACCTTAGTATCAAAGCTAAGTCCTGGGCACACATAGGCCATTCGAGGTCTCAGGATTGACATTAGGTCTCTTTTTTATTGTATAGTAAACTTCTTGACTGCAGGAAACCTTGCAGTGCTGTTGCTTTCTTCCTACTGGCTGCCCTACAAGTCAGAATGATAGAATCCTAAAATGCTAGAGGTAGGGGGCACTTTTGATTCACCCCTTCCACCTTTATTCCTGAGAATGCAGCGTCTCACCAGAGTGAAACATAGAGCAGAAATGAAAATAACCATGCTCAACTCAACCAAACGCTCTATCAGCATCAGTAACAGATACGGATTCTTTTGTTCTAGGACCATTGTAGCACTTGTGTACAACGTCTTGAAAACGTTAATGGAGATGAATGGCAAGCTTTTCGATGATCTTACAAGCTCATACAAAGCTGAAAGACAAAGGTATTTATTGTTTTAAATGACTTGAGTATCCATAGTCCGTGGTCCCAGGGGTCTTATATTCAAAATATCCATGTGCTATTTAATCCTGACCAAAATGAGTAGTAACTTCATGAAGGTATATTTTAGAGTCTTTATGGAAAAATTAGTTGCATTTTGAGCTTTATTTACATTAAATAAAGCTTTCCAAACAGTACCCATAAGTCATCTTCACATGTGCTATCTCCTTTTAATAGATTTATGCTAAGCAGAAATAGCAAAAATATGTCATCTTGGAAGAGACATCATATAACTTCAGTGGTATAGGTCAGCATTTCTCCAGACTAATTTGGCCACAGAACACTTGGGTTTAAAATACAGGTTGGAATGGCCTTTTTTTTTTTGGTGGTTTTTCTATTTTGTATAAGGAAATACTTGTTTTATTTGATATTTACTAAGTTCAGAATTTGAAAAAAAAAATATAAAAATAAAACATGTGATGAACCCATAAATGCCAGTCCAAGAAGCCTGGAGAGTATGGCATTTTCCAAGGATAGAGGGGTCTGGGGAAGAATTCTGGTCCAAAGTAGGGGAAATAAGGCCCATTTTCTAACCCTAAAATTGCCACAAGTAATACTTTGTTTTTGGAAGAAAGACTAACATTGACTAGCATTGAATATTCTCATGGAATGCCTTTTCATATCATGTAGAACACTATGGTTTTATGAAACAGGCATAGATTAATACTGTAATCATCAATAATGCTTTTATATACCTTGCCCAAATCTTCCATTCACCTAATACTGACCATAAACTTTAGAAAATCTCATTGGTCTGGTATATACAGTTAAATAAAATGTGTCAAGAAAGCTAATATCCATGTATACTTTCCTATTTGATGATATACTTTTATAATTTTTCCCCAATTACATGTTAAAACAATTTTTAACATTTTTTTAAAGTTTTGAGTTCCAAATTCTATCTCCCCCCCCAAAACAGTAAGCAATCCAATATAGGTTATGCATGTCCAATTATGTAAAAATTTCCATATTAGTTATTTTGTACAAGAAAACTGGAACAAAGAAGGAAGGGAAAGGAAAGAGGAAAAAAGTGAAAAATAGTATGTTTCAGTCTTCATTCAGACAATATCAGTTCTTTCTCTGGAGATGGATAGCGTGTTTCATGATGATATGCTTTTGAAAATGGTGTTTGTTTTCATGGACCTTTAGAATTTCGGTTGGAAGACCCTTCAGAGGTCATTCAATCCAATTTATATCTTAGTAGGAATTACTTTTACAGCATCTCGAGCAAAGGGTCATCTAGCATCCACCCAAAAATCTCCACACTTGGATTGATCCCTGCCTCCTGGGGCAGCCTAACCCACTACGGGGCATTCTAATTGTGAAGACATTTTTCTTCATATCAAGCTGGCATTTGCCTCTCTGCCAGTTCCCATCGATCTGACTTCTGCCCACTGGGCAAGTAAGACAAGCCTGATCCTTCTCCAGGTGACAGCACTTGGGTTGCTTGAAGATGTTGTTCAGTTGTTTCAGTCATACCTGCCTCTTCTTTGGGGTTTTCCTTGGCAAAAATACTGGACTGGTTTGCCATTTTCTTCTCCACCTCGTTTTACAGATGAGAAAAACAGGGTTAAGTGACTTGCTCCGGGTCACACAGCTAGTAAGTGTCTGCGTCTGGATTTGAACTCAGGAAGATGAGTCTTCCTGACTCCAAGCCTGACACTCTGTGCACTATGGTACCAGCTAGCTGCCTCTACTTGATGATACCTAAGCTCGTTAAGTCCTCTCTTCCCCAAGCTAAGAATCCTCAGTACCTTGAACTGATGCTTGTATGGCTTGTTTTCTTGTCCCTTTTCTATCAAGGGTGCTTGTCTCTGAATGTGCAACCACTTGTGAATATTCTTCCTAAAATAAGGCAACTGGGAGAGCACTTGTGTTCAGTGGAAATGTGAACTACCAGAGTAATATTGTAGAATGAGAATATTTCTCATTCTGGAGCATATGTTTCTATTAATACAACCTAGCTTTTGACTGCTGTGTGTCACTATTGGCTGATATTGAGTTTCTGATACATTAAAACCTCCAGATCTTTCATATGTGATCCATTGATTTGCCAAGCATCTTATGTGTTTTAAAACTAAGTGTACATTTATCTTTATGAAATACCATTTTATAAAATTTGTCCCACTGTAGCCTAAAATCTTTGAGGATTTTGATTTTTGTCATCTAGTATGCTAGCACTTTTCCTGAGCTTTGGGTCATCTTCAGATTTGTTAAGCTCCTGTATCATCTGTGCCTTCAGCTAAGTCATTTATGAAAAGGTTAGACTGAACAGGGCCAAGGGGCAGATCCCTGAGGTATTTCACTAGAAAACCTCCTTTCAGATTGACATTGATCCGTTAATCACTGCATCAGCTCTTATCATTAATCTCTCTTTGTTTTGGCGTTCCCTTGATCTACCTGTCTAGTAACATCATTACCTTTTTTTAAAGGATTAGTTTGGCATATTATAAAATCATAGCTTTAGAGCTTGAAAGAATTTTAGCTCAATCTAGTCTAAATTAAGTAATGTGTTCTCAATGAACCCATAGTGGTTCTTTTTCTTTCCAATGATTTAATGTTTTCCCCAATTACATGCAAAAACAATTTTTAACATTCATTTTTAAAATTTTGAGTTCCAAATTCTCTCCCTCCTTCCCATACTGGCTCTTAATGATCACCTCTTTCTTCAAGGCTTACAAACTATCCCTTTAATATGTTCTAGAATTTTGATAGGAATCAAAGTCAGACACGTGATGATTTAAAGAAACTATTTCTTCCCCTTTCTTGGTTGCAATAACTTAATACTTCCTTCCCTCAAAAAAATTATTTTTAGCATTCTTTTTCAAAAATTTGAGTTCCAAATTCTCTCCCTCCTTCCCATCCCTCCCCCACACATTGAGAAAGCAAGCAGTATGATATCAATCATACATATGAGGTCATGCAAAACTTATTTCCACACTAGCCATGTTGCAAAAACAAAGCAAGAAAAATAAAATGAAAAAAGTATGCTTCAATCTTCACTCATACTTCATTAGTTCTCTTTCTCTCTGGAAGTGGATGGCATTTTTCTTCATGGGTCCTTTGGAAATGTCTTAGATCATTGTCTTGATCAGAGTACCTAAGTCTTTCACAGTTGATCGTCATTATAATATCACTGTTACCATGCATGAAGTTGTCCTGGTTCTGTTTATGTCATTTTGCATTAGTTCATACAAGTCTTCCCATGTTTTTTCTGAAAGTATCCTGCTCATCATTTCTTATAGCACAATGATATTCTATCACCATCATATGCCACAATTTATTCAGCCATTGCCCAATTGATGAGCATCCTCTCAACTTCCAATTCTTTGCCCCCACAAAAAGAGCTGCTATAAACATTTTTGTATATATAGGTCCTTTTCCTTTTTCTTCCATCTCTTTGGGGTATAGACCTAGTAGTAATATTGTTGGGTCAAAGGGTATGCACAGTTTTATAGTCCTTTGGGCATTCGTTCTCTAGTCAATAGTGATTTAGAGCATTTTTTTATGTGACTTGATAGTTTTTATTTCTTCTTCTGAAGATTGCCTGTTCATATCCTTTGATTATATTATAACTTATTTTCTAAGATTTTTCAGAGATCACCAAAAATAGCTCAGCAATCACATTTAAATCTTTTGATTTAAGGTAATTAAGAGCAGCTTTTACTATATACCCCTTTATGCAACTTTCAGTTCTCTGTGAATCATCTTTGTTGTCCTTCCAAGTCTGAAAAACATTATTCTTAATAGAAAAAACAGATGCAAAATTAGGTCTTTGAGTATTTTTGCATTCTTTTAATCTTCCGTTATCAATGATCCATCTACTCCCAGTAGCTATCCAGTCTTTTCTCTGATCTTTCTCTTTTCCTTATCATAACTTCCAGAAAAACACTTTTAGCTGTCCTTAACATTCTTTACAAACCTTAGCTTTGACATTTTTACAAGACCATCCCACTCTTTTGTATTTATTTCTAACTCCCTTACCTTGCATCCGTCTTTTCCACACGTCTTTTAGAATTTTAGGTTGGTTGCTAAGTTCCCTTTAGAAGCACATCAATCTCCTTAGACAATTCCTCCATTTCTTCTTCATCAGAATTATTTGTGTTATGTCATCAGGATTTTGTTACTCAGAGTGGACCCACCCTTCTTCACCTGACATCTTCTGAACCACTATGATCCTGCCTGTGTTTTTCACGATTTAAAAAATAAAACGTTTCTATCATCTAGGAGGTACAAATAAGATCATACCCAACATTTCCTTATCTGTTAGTAACGCTAGGATAGCATGCTCACTTTTATTTTCATTATTTCTGCTTTGGCACCTAATGTCTCCTTATTGGTCAGAAACACCAGAATAAGACCTCTCCCCTCCTCCGCCCCCATTGTTTCCCTCAACTTCTGAATCCTGACATTATCAGCAAGGCAAATCATATCTCAATTGCTTTCCTTTTTTTTTTTTAAGCAGAAAAAGAGATCTAGATGATGTCCGGATAATTAAAGTTTTCCACTTATTACTACTTGCCTTACTGTATTTGTTTTTCATTGATTTTTTTGGATCATCTTCCATTTCTTCCTTCCAGCTGGATGTCCTGTAGTATAATATAATCTCACCACAAGGTTGCTTCTGTTTCTCCATCACCTGTGCTTTCCATCATGCTTGATGGGGATATTTTTGCTTCTGAACTGCTCTTGCACAGTTATTTGTAATTGATTTAACAAATCAAATTGATTAACAAAGACGATATTTTGAAGTCAGCCCCATTCTATATTGGGACTTTAGATCTCATATATGTCATTGGCTCTGATTCAGCCAGTCGGCAAGCATTTATTAAATGGCTGCAATCTGTCAGGCACTTGGGTTACAAAGAAAGTCAAAAGTGGCCCCCTGCTTTCAAGTAGCTAACAGTCTAGTGGGAGAGACAACATGCAAATAACTATATACAAACAAGTTATTGACAGGATAAATTGGTCAGTAAATAAGCATTCCCTTTGTAGAAAAGATAGTTAAGTCTCATAAGTCATTGCCTCCAAGGCTTCATCTTGGGGCCATAAAATGAGGGGGAGGAGCACACATACTGGTTTGTTGCTTGAGATAAGGCAGATGTATTTTATTTGGGAAATAATAGGAATCAAATGCTTTATCAAAGGATGGTTTAGTGAATGTGGATGAGGTCTGTCTTCCCCATCAATGTTATGATGCATGGTATGTTTCTCTTAGCACTGTTTTAAACACTTCTGATTGCAATTGTTTTCGATATTTTCTGCAGAGAGAAAAAAAAGGAATTGGAACGTGAAGAATTATGGAAAAAATTGGAGGAGCTAAAGTTAAAGAAAGCTTTGACTGAAAAGCATAACAGTACTCACAGTGTGCATAATGCACTCAACAGTACAAGTGCCAAATAAATGAAATGATGACGACTTCTGCTCGAAAGGCAGACTTTTTGTACACACTTTTTTGAAATATGTAAAAATTTGCAAAGGAAAAACCTCAACAGTATAATGTAATTAAAAGGCCAATTTTTTTTTCTGGCATCTGTAAATGAAAAATTGTGGACTAAACATAGCCATATGTTACATCATGACCACAGTATATTGTAACTTTTTTGTCTAATCATTGATTTATTGTGTCACTTCTGGGGTTTCACAGAAATGAACGAATTTTTATTATACCTGAGTGAGATAATTATGGGAGTGGTGAGAATTATGACTTGAATTTTTTTTTTTTTGATTGTGTTGCATTGCACATAGATGTAGTAGTCTGCTCTGTACATTTTTTAAATGTGCTTTTCACATTGCTGCACACCTTGGTTGAGTTCTAGGAAAGGCAGTATTTCCTAAAATAAAACTAAGGTACAATCCTTCCTTTCCTTTTTCCTTCCAATAACACAAAGGGAGGAATAGCCTAGCTTGCCCTTTACCTTTTGTCCTTAAAGATATTACTGTATTCTGGAATTTGAGTGAAAAGCTTCAAATTTCCAGAAAAAAAAATTGTGATATTTTTAAAGCACAAGTTAGAAATAAAAGCTGGGAAAATAAACCAAAATTCTCCAGAATGTTCCTTGTGGTCAGCTGGAGAACATCCCCCTTTACCTGCCATCCCATTGATGACATTCACTGGTCAGCAGGCAGCTTTGTAGAAGTGTGATGATGACGTGATCTCTGACATTACCTCTCATTCATTCCTCCTCTTCCCTTCCCCATGAAGCATAGGGCTGAAGGCAGGGCCTCTGGAGCCCTCCCTCCATCCCTCTCTCCATCTTCTCCCCCCCCCCCCCCCCGATGGAGGCTTTGGGTCCCTTGGTGTGGGGATGCAGAGCTCTAATGATCACTGCCTGGCTTTATTTAAAAGAAATGCAGTACGCTTCCTAAATAGAAGACTCAAGAAACTGATTCTAGGGGGCCTTGTACATTTTTACTTGATCAGATATTTCTCACATCTTTTGTTATCAGAGTACCATTCCAATCTCTTGCAGTTGCATAGAAAGCTGTTTTGTAATGGAAGATCTTCACGGGGGGATTGAGCAGCATTTAATAAAGTCTATGTTTGTAGTTTGCTGTGTGTTATCTTTGACTTCTGACCACCAGGCTCTAGAAATGTTGCCAATGGAATCATCCAGCAAAGTTTACTTGATAAAATAACAACTGGAGTACAAAGCTGACCCTGATATAAAAAGTAATGATGGAGCTCGTGGGTACACATGCTGTTTATCAAAACACAAAGGTGGGGGTAAGTGGTGCAGCCAGTAGTAATCAACAACCATCAGCTGGAGCTTACTCCGGTGGATTGATTTGTAGGAAATTTAAAAATCCTACATTGGCCTCCCCGGCACACCACACGGCCCATGTGTACTTAGAGAATACAAGTTATTTTGAAGATTAGTCTTCATAGAATGAATGCAGGAAGACAGGTTGTAGTACAAACCGTGCTCCCCTGTTAGCAGAGAGTTAATTGCCTCAGCTATCCATTTTCTTGCCAGGCATCTTAACTGGAAGTCTGTGAACCTAGGTGGCACAGAGGAAGAGGGTGTCAGGCCTGGAGTCAGAAAGACTTGAGTTCAAATCTGGCAGTTGTTAGCTGTGTGACCTTGGGCAAGTCACTTCACCTCTGCCTTATTTTCCTCAAATGCAAAATGGGAATAATATTAGTACCCACTCCCCAAGATTGTTGTGAGGATCAAGTGAGATAATAGTTATAAAGTGAGCACAATGCCTGGCGCCTAATAAGTGCTATATAAATGTTCATTAGCTGTTATCTCTGTTTTAATGTTTTGATAACTATACTTCAATATAATTGGCTTTCCTTGTAATCCCATGTGTTTTATTTTGCACATTTAAAGGGCAGTAGCTAGGTGGCACTGTGGATAAAAACTAGAGTCAGGAAGACCCAAGTTCACATCTAGTCTCAGACACTTCTGCTAGCTGTGTGACCCTGGGCAAATCACTTAACCTCCATTTGCCTTAGATTCCTTCACCGTAAAGTGGGGACAATCATAGACTTACCTGACAAAGATGTGAGGATTAAATGCTGTGGTATTTGTAAAGCACTCAGCACAGTGCCTGGCCCATAAAAGCACTTAATATAAATATTTGTTTCCTTTCTGCTAAAACATTCTAAGAAAGAGTCCATGACACAAAAAAGGCTAAGAACTCCTTTTCCCATAAAAGTATCCATCTTTTCTTTGTGCTCCAGGTTATTTCCCTCTGGTACTAAGGATCCTGACTTTTCCTGCGGAAGCAACCTCCTTTAAAGTACTCTCAACTGTGGCAGGCATCCTCCCCTAGGGTCTGCTCATTGTCCCAGAGCAAGATTTTCCGAAATTCCCTTTCCCTTGTTTGAATCCCACCCACATCACTTATGAGCCTGTGTGATCCTGGGCAAATAACTTCTCTGCACCTCCATTTTTCACAGTTCAGTAGTGTCTGGTACAGAGTAGGTGCCCTAAGAATAAATATCTCCTCTCCCCTTTTCCCAATCTGTAACAGGAATAATAATATACCACTGCCCACTTGTTGTGAGGAGAGCTCTTTGTAAACTTTTAAAATGCCGTTACTCCAAGTGCTTTAACTACAGATACCAATTTAACACCAGCCAGCACTAACTATCCTGACAGCAAGATTCAATGGGTGACTCCCAAACACGGAAGTGTGGGTGAAGGAGATGGGCCAGCAGCAGCAGCAGCTGCCTTCCAAGAGAAGGAAGGGTAGGCAGGCAGCCTCATTTTCTGCCTGCTGGGAGGCTCCCTTTCTATAAAGTTTCTATTTTAGGGTAAGTAATAGGAGTACTTTTTTTTTTCACTTGAAGAGTGGGACTACAGTCTTTGGCTTGGCTATGTAGCTAATTGTTTTAACAGTATTTTTCTTTAAATAGCTAAAGATGCTTGTATCCTTTTCCGATTCTCCAAAGTTATTCTGTCCAAAATGCATTTTAAAAGGTCTCTGTGAACTTTATATGATATAGGCAACATGGTTCAGGGTGACCTTGGAAGTACGTTTTTATTAAGTTTTAAGCAACACTAAAGTGACCCGTCATCTTTAAAAGATATTTATTTCTAAAATATCTCTAATGAGGCTACTTTTAGTACTATTAATGTAAGCTTTCACAAGTGTTTTTGAAATAAATTGTATGCTTGGCTCTGCATTTCCCCTAGAACAAGATGTAGGGAGAAAGCACCGCTGGGATTGTTTTCTCGTGCTTTTGTGGAGGAGAAAAATTGAGAGGGATAGTTTCTTTCAGATGGGCTTCCTTGGTCAAGAGCAGAACTCTTGCTTCCCTGTTGGACACAGGACAGATGTGCCCCACTTATCAACTGGCACTCCCCCCTTCCCCCAACCATTTGAAGAGCAACAGCATAGTGAAAATTTTGAAACTTGTTCTAATTTGGTCCGTGATTGCTTATGCAACTGGAAAAGAGTTCAAGAAATCACGCAGGTGTTGTCTACCTGTGTAAAGTTCATTTCTCTATGGCACCAGGGGCAACTGATGGCACAGTGGATAGAGCACTAGGCCTGGAGTCAGAAAGTCAAATCCAGCCTCAGAGACATACTAGCTGGGTGACCCTAGGCAAGTCACTTAACCTCTGTCCGCCTCAGTCTCCTCAGCTGTAAAATGAGGCTCATAATAGCACCTATCTTCCCACAATTGTTGTGAGGATCAGATGACATATTTGTAAAGTATTTAGCACATGGCCTGGCACATAGTAGGTGCCATTGAATGCTTATTTCCTTCCCCTACTAAGTAGTGAGACCCATCCCTCTGGAACAGAAGCATTAAAAGTCACAGACCAGCCCAGGGAGGGGAATCTTAAACTGATGGAACCGTGAGGGGTACAAGAAGTTAGAGTTAGCACAGTTCATTTATAGTGCCTTGATGGGGGCCAGCTTGAACAGGCGACCACTGTCACTTCCCTCTTGTGCCCCCACCACCACTATCCTTCACCCCCAGTCTCCCTTCCCTCTTGACATGGATGGACTGCAGCTGAGCCCGAGAACTGGATCATTCTGGAAGTAAGGGTAAAGTGTTAACTATTTCTTCCTCATCATCATAGAAGTTGACACCTTTTTGCTTTTAGAGAAGTCACAAGATGAAGGAGCAATTTTGGCAAATGCATTTAGCCTAAAAACCCTGCTTACCCTCCCTCCCACCCCCACTGTCTGGGCCGGCTTCCTCCCCACGATATTTGTTCCCCCTCTCTCTGTCCTCATGTGTCAAGTAGAACTTACTTCTTCAAGCTTTTGTGTGGCTACCGACATACAACGCTCAGACAATTAAGTGAACGGCCATTCGGGAGACATTTAATCACTCGTTTCAAGTAACTTTAAAAGGTGTTATGTCACTTCACATTCCACATGAAAAAGCTCGTCAGCTGCTGACAGTCTCATGTTGATGGGAGATGACGCACTTGTACTGCAGCACAAGGCACAGACTCAGGGAAGGTGCCAGAGCCCAGGCTCTCCTGACTGCTGCCCCGGTGGATGGGGAGCAAAGTCTGACATCCTTGCAGCACCATAACCTTAAGAGAAGCGAAGTTCACCTGAGAGGCTCATAGGCTCTTTAAGCAGCTGTGGTCCATCAAAACTGTAGAGGAATGTTGAAGTGTATCTCCAACACAGAGAAAGACCTAGCACAGCATCTTATGTGGTTGATTGGTCATTTGTCAAGCTACCTGAACTCCCACCCCTAATTTGCACGTTGGTCCAATTTTTTTTAATGGTTCATTAATAACTTAAACATTTAAATAACTTTAGGAGTTGCCATTGGGCCTGTCCTGAGCTCCAGTCAGCCTCTTCTTGGGCCAAGTCAGGAGGGCCATTTTTCCAAACCATCCTTTTTAAGCATGACAAATATCCATTCGAGCAAATGCGGGATTGGTGGTGCGCCGGCTGGCTTTGTCACAGTTGGGGTCCATCAAGTTCACAGTTCTACCCCGTGTATAAATAATGCCCCACACAGGCGCATTCAGCTGATGTGGTTGGTTGCTTGGCCCTTCCTTTTCAGGTAGCGTTTTCGGATTTTGATCATCCATTTCACACTTAGTTTGGCAAACTCCGCTGCCTTGAATAATGCTAAGAAGGCTCCACAAAGAAGAGCAATTGTATTCCAAGGGTTGGCAGTGATGATCTGAAAAATAGAAATTTATGGTTTAGTTTTTCAGCCGTGTCCAGCTCTTCATGACTCCATTTGGGGTTTTCTTGAAAGATACTGGAGTGATTTGCCATTTTCTTCTCCAGTTCATTTTACAGGTGAGGAAACTGATGCAAATAGGGTTGAGTGACTTGTCTAGGGTCACCCAGCTAGTGTCTGAGGCCACATTGAACTCAAACCCACACACAGATTTGAACTTAGGTCTTCCTGATACCAGGCCTGGCACCTTATGTACTGTACCACCTAGCTGCTCCTAATGTAAGATTAATTAAAAATTTTAATTTACTTCTATAGTACTTGGCATGTCTCACTAAGTAAAGGCCTCAGTCTAAGACAGTAGGAATCCAATAGGCTAAAATCACCATTCCTATTTTTTACCTTTGCTTTTTTTCCCTTGCTGTGTCTCCCTTCACCATTCTGTAATTCAGACTTGACACTTTAGCCATGATAATCCACTGATTTTGTTAGAATCTGTCTGCCTTACATATTCCTGTCTCCAAGTTTTTACTTATGCCATTTCCCTCACCTAGAATGTCCTTTCCTCCTTTGCCTCTCCAAAGCCTTCCCATCCCTAGTCCAAATCCTGTTCCCTCAGTGGAGACTTTCCCTTACCTATGCCTCTTTCAAACTCCTACTCCATGTACTTAATTGTGCTATGTACTTCTGGAACTTTTTGTATGCCGTCTTGCACAGTGTTGGAGTACCTGTACCACTTTGTCTCTACACAGACCCTATATATAATCAGTCTTTGACACCAGTGGTGGTTGTAATACATAGCACTGGAAAGGCAGAAAAGCACCTGCATTCACTTTGGGAATACATCCATGATACACGGTCTTTGCTGGAACTCACACCCGTGAAACTTTTCCACTGAAGATATCCCTGAAGAGAGCCCTCAGCTACCACATCA